TTTTATTTATTTTTATATTTCTTCTTTTCTTTTATTTTATTTTCCTTTAAATAAAAGATCTTCCACTTGACTCTCATTACTTTAAAATTTGCTACAGCTTGATAGTTTTTAGTAAATTTTATTACAGTACTTTGTATTTAAATATATATATACATATTTAGTATATAATAAAAAAATACATACATATTTATATAATAAAAGGTAAGATTTTCAAAGAATTAACCGGATTAACCGCGGATTGTTTGGATCAATCCGTATTTCGAATTAGTTGGGCCTAATCCCGGATTAACCGTCAGATTGGCCCCGGATAGGTCCCGGATCAATCCGTATTTCGGATTCGGATCAATCCCGGATCAACCGGGATTATTAATCCGTTTTGGAACACTACGCCAATAATCGAGTATAACGAGAAAATCATACATTTTCCAATAACTCAAAATTTTGTCTATGAAACTACACTAATAAAAAAAAAATTCCTTGCAAAATTTTGTTATAGGATAAGTCCTCCTTCAGTCATTACTATAGATGCTGGTGAAACTGGTGAAATTCCTGGTGAATGGTGGTGAAATTGACGAAATTTAATATAGCAGCCAAACAGATTTTAGATAGCCACCAGTTTCACCAGCATCTATAGTCATTACCCTAATATTGTTTGTTGATTTGGTGCATTTTTCACGACCCTACTGGGGTAGCCAGGACGAACTACTTATTTTCCGGTTGATTATTCGCAATGCCAAAATCGAATTCCAATTCTCGATCGAAAATCCAGAACATACACCAGCTTATTAAATTTTGAGAGCTCCACGTCGTCTTATCGTTCATCTCATCGTCGCTCATTAAATTACACAAGTTCATGTGTTTCTGTCGGTGACAAAGGTTATAGTTTTCTACTAAATTAATAAAAATGATCGTATCCTAGACCAATTTCACCGCAGCAAGGTCTTGTTCACGTGATATTTCTTCGAGGATATGTAAAAAATCATTCAATTTTTTTAAAATTACGTAATCAATTGTGATTGGTAAATACAAATTTGTTAAAAAATCGGGTTTAAATTATATTATGGTTAGATGTTAACCCGAGATATAAAATGCGTTATTTATTATTACAGATAACACCTCGCATTAGAAGTTATTATACCTCAGTTAACGTTCAATTATTCTAAAGCGCTGTAATATCATTTTTTACAAGACATTTAAAAAATTAGACGTTCTTTGTCCAATACTGTACATATTCTTTTTGTACAGTTGGTCCTTTATTTATTGAAAGTATTTTGGAAAACCATTACATTGAAGTATCTTTTAAGCATTTGCCAAGAGAGAAAAAAAAAAGACAAATACAAAAGATTTTATATTAGGTCCTAAGTGAACATTTATAAAACCAACAAATCATCGTGTGATATTCTCATTATATTCGTCATAATCAAAACTCCATGTACAATTACCTTAAAAAAAATTTTTTAAAAATTCATTGCAAGTTATATACATTACTATCTTCGTCGAGCCGACGGAACTTGAATTGTAACATTTGTGGAAATTTATGCATGACACTTCTTGAATCAATTAGTTATCTTTGTTGATCTCGAGAATTTTGATGCTTAATTGAAAAACACCATTATACAATAAAGGAACTTAATAAATCTCGACAGCAACTTTCAGGTGAATAACCAATAATTAGCAAACCTTGTTAAATAAATAAATAAATTATTGTATAAAATTACAGAAAATCAAAAATTACGAGATCTATTATCTATTGCAACTCTAATCCTCACTACCCATTATTCCACTTACGTCTGCCTGGTTTGGAGTAAAAGTTGTTGTTTCTATGCGAAGGCAAATAGCAAGGTTATGAAAATTTTTTAAATAATGGATAAAACAATCTGAATTAACACCCACCAAAGCTAAAATATTGTTACGTTGGTCGGGTGGCAACATATCAATTTGTTGTTGTGGTAGATTAAGAACTTGAAGTAAAAGTTGCTAAATAATAAATTGATATATTTAGCAATGTATGTGTTATTAATGAAATCATCAAACATTCTTCTTTTAATACGGACCGACTTTTGAGCTTCTTGAATTTGCAAATCATCTAAAAATATGCAAAGGTAATTTAATGACGGAATTTAATGATGTTCGCACAAAATTTTGACAATTAATTCACTATATTACTTAAACTGATATTTCCAACCATTCCAGCTACAGACGACGTGGCTGGGGTAACGCCAACATTCCCTATAACAGGCATCATTCCGGCATTCATCACTGGCATTCCCATTGGTGGTTGCATAGTTTGTGTTATTTGTTGTTGCATAGTTTGCGTTATTGGCTGTTGCATGGTCTGCGTCATAGGTTGCTGCATATTTTGTGCTATGGGTTGTTGAATCATCGGTTGAGGTTGTTGAGGGATCGTAGAATACATAGCCGGTTGAAGTTGTGGTGGCACTGCGGCAGCATTGGGCACATTAGGCGGAACATAATTTGGCGGAGGCACGAGTGAGGGTGGATTTTGTACTGGATTAGGTTGAGATTGTGCTTGTGGATTATTATGCAGTAATACACGCTATGAATTTATTTGTTACGAATTCTAAGTTAAAAATTTTAAAATTCGTGATCAAAAAAAAACAAAAAAAACAGATCTAGATTATGAACCGGTAATATTGCTGGATCGACTAAATTCTGTTGTAGCATTGCTTGAAATAATGCATATGAGAGTTGTGGATTCTGGGCTAATAGCAATCGTGCTTGATCTTGATGTGTTTGGATGAGCAACTTTTGATGAGATCGGTCAACCAAATAATTCAGACAAATATATTAATATCACCCGTTAAACTCGTCAAGAAAATAATAACAAATACCTTCATCGTTGACAAAATTTCAAGAAGCTGAGCTTGAGTCATTGAGTGCTGGACTGTTTGTGATATACTTTCGATTGCAGATTGTTGTGGTGTATTTTGCGGAACAATTGATTGTGGTGGTGGCTGAGAAGGCGGTGGTGGCCTTTCTACATTTAATCTTTCAGATGGTGGAATTGAGGGCGCATTTGCAGGGTCCCCATCAGCATAATCGACCCTTAGTTGTCTTCCACCAACTTCCACATTATTGAGATTGCGTACTGCGCTTGCTGCTGTTTCGGCATCTTAAAATTAATTGATTTAAAAATGTAAGGAACAGGATATAAAAAAAGTAAAAAAAGAAGTTGAAATATGAACACATATACCATGATATTCGCAAAAGCCATATCCCCTGGGCCTTCCACTGTCTCGATCAAATACAAGGCTTTACATAAGAATGAATGATCAGTTTTTAATTAAGGTATTTTTAATTTCAACGGATCTTTAGAAAATCACAAACCGGAAAGATACGACTGGTCCAACTTCTTTGAATACCTCAGTTAACTGTTCTTCGGTAAGTTCGTACGGTATATTTCCAACTGTAATAAAGTACAATAAGTTAAATGTATTTGTCCATTGAATGGCTATAAATAGAAAAACGTAAGCTACCAAACACAACGTTAGAGCCTCTCGGTCCACTCATCGTTAAATCGTCTTAATTGCCCACGCAGTTATTATAAGTAGATTCAATACTTTTGATCTAGTGTTCAGGGACGTCAACCTACAAAAAATTTTCGGCACGTGATTTTTTTGCCATTTAGATTTTTTCTGGTACGTGATTTTGATTTTTAGCCAATTATATCGAAGGATCAGGTGTAACGTAAAATCAAAACAATCGAATTAAGCATCATCTTAAAACTCATACAGGGGAATCATGATCGGCAGGGCCGGAATTAACTAATTTTGCCCAAGATCACTAAAAGTTTTACTAAT